ATTTTTCAAGTCGAATAATTATAGTATATAACTGCCATACAAATTGACTGAAAAAAAATCCAAATTGTGTTTTATTAACATACAAAAATATTTTTATACATTTTTTTCTAATACACCAAAATGTCACTCAGGAGGCCATATCTAATTGTCAGGCAGCTGAACAAACTATACAAGCGTTTCGACGATTAGATCAAATTAAAAAGCCTTTGAAATAAATTTTAGCGATTCTTTCCTGGAAACTCAACATTTCTTCTCTAAATGGGAAACTACGTCGTTCGCCAACGCTATAAAATGTCAGATAAATCTTAAAATAATACTTGGAGAACTATAGATAGACGATGGACCGATAAGGCTGCTTTTATGTAAAAGAGAGTTCAGTAATAGCCAGTCTAAAAGAATTTGGGTTTATCGTCTTTTCAACGAATATCATAAGTAAAAAAACGGTAAAATAACATCACATTAAAATATATGATAAAATTGTTATCTGAATAGTTATCGAACAGAACCATTTCTTTGGAGATTATAGCGTTCCCTTGGACAATCATCCATGTTCATTTTCGTGAAGGTATATTTTCAAATAAAAAAGAAATCTTTTTCCAATATTTTTTGAATTTGGTAAAACTTGCCAGTTGTCAAAATTTATTTTATATATGAAAAAGTCCCATTAGTTTATAAAACTCAAGTCTTTTTCTTAAGTACGCTTTAATTGTAGTCGGTCACGTAATTAGCAACGCAGTGTTTAAATACTTTTTTTTAACCACATTTACAAATATTTGTGGTAAATTTCTTCAATTTATGCATATTACAATAAATTGGTAAAGCTATATATTTAGCTTGGTGTAAAATGGGCAGAAACAAATCCTCTGACGAAAGTACTAGAGCCATTTTGATTTATATACGCAACGATGGGAAGTTCTATTTTGAAATCGTTAAAGATCTCTAATAATAATAATAACCCAACGATTACCCTCCTCCCGCCCAACCGACGCAGAAAAGGCAAGAGAGTTTTTTAAATGTTGAGATCTAAAACTACTCAGCTACAGAAACAAAAATTTCAACAGCTAAGATTTATAGTTACAATATAATAAATTGTTACATTTTCATTCATTAAGAGAAAACAATAGTCTTTTTAATTTTGAAAAGTAAGTCAGATAAGTCAAATGTGCTGGAATGAGAATTAAAATCATGACATATACGGCGGAATGGCTTATTTAGCTGAAAATTTGATCTACAGGATTTTAACAGTAAAGGTCTAAACTGCCTCGAAAAGCGAAGCGGGATATTAAATTTAATTTCTGACAGGAGAAAAGAACTGCAAACTGCTCCATTCAAGATTTTTACTAAGAATATTATGCCAAGCATTTCTCTACGACTAGAAAGTGTAGGTAGATTAATAAGTTTTAAACGACTAGTGTATGGAGGTAGACTTACCCTAGAATCCCTTCGGAAATGCGCTAAGGCGAAAAGTAAAAATTGTTTTTGAACAGACTCTAACTTGTCAGAATGGATTTGGTAGTTAGGGTTTCATACAACAGAGCCATATTCCAATATAGGTCTAGCCAAAGCTGTATAAAGTGTTTTGGTCATATACGGATCTCTAAATTCTTTAGACCAACGTTTAACAAAACTGAGTACAGCTTTTGCTTTCGAGACCATGGTATCAATATGAAGACTAAAATTAAGCTTAGGGTCCATATTAACTCCCAAATCAACATAGTTAAAAACTTGCTCCAGAATATGGTGTTTTATTACATAAGAAGAGGGGTGCACAGATTTACGGGAAAAGCACATCGTCTTACATTTATTCAGATTCAATGGCAAATCATTTCTATCACACCATGCAACCATATTGTTGAAGTCTGTTTGCAACAGACACCTTTCCTCAGTTGAAGTGTATAGTTTAAAAAGCTTTACGTCGTTAGCGTATAATAAAATTTTTGAGAATTCAATTACTGAAGATAAACAACAAGAACAGAATCGGGCCAAGATGACTACCTTGCGGAACACCTGAAGAAACATTGTAGGTGTATCCTAAAATCTCACTCGTTGTGTTCTATTATTAAGATAGGAAGATACCCATTGAAGGAATCTTGGCTAAAAGACCAGCAGATCAAGTTTATGTATCAGAATCGAGAGGTTTACTTCGAAACTTCGAAAACTTTGCTAAAGTCTGTGTATCCGTATGCCTACGTTCCCTAAAACCCAATGATACATGGTTTACAAATTCAAGCAAGTTTGTTAGAGTCGATTTCCCTTTACGAAATCCATGCTGAGATGAGGAAATTAACTTAGAAATCGAAAAGGTTATATGGTCTGTGATGATAGCTTCAAAAAGTTTAGGTATAACTGATAGTTTTGCGATACCTCTATAGTTTTCAATGTTCGATCTAAATCCACTTTTATGCAAAGGAAATATAAATGACTGTTTCCATATTGAAGGAAATATACCGTGTTTAAGAGAGGTATTAAATATCCTTGTCAAAGGAAAATAAATATATTTGGCACTATTTTTTAGGAAGCGTGAGGGTATCAGTATCAGGTCTGGGCCGTAACTAAAAGATGGTTTTAACTTATTTAAATTAAGTAGGACGTTCTCTTCAGAAATAATTGGAGCGTTAATTAAAGTATTCGAACACAGCACGTGCTGATAAGAAAAAGTTTTGAAAGAAATATTACAGTAGTTTGACTTAAAAAATTCTGCAAACAAATTGGATATAATAACATTGTCAGTTGAAATGATAGATTTGTATTTCATCGCGGACGGAAATTTGGAAATCGTGCGTTTGGAGTTGACGAAATCATAAAACGATTTTGGATTACTTACAACATCCTTTTTTACTTTATTTAAGTAATTATTATAATATTTTCTGATTAGGTCAAAATATTGTCGACGCAATACAGAATATTTAGAATAGTCGACAAGTGAACCGGTTTTTTTAATATGTTTAAATGCTCGAGTTTTTCTGTTTTTCAATTTATGTAACTCTTTCGAAACCCACGGCTTTTACTTTTATTAACAATTACTACTGGAACATACTTTTCAAATAATTTCGTAATAATGTTATTAAAATGAAAGACACTCAATTCAATATAACCATTATAATTAGGCCATGATATTGTAGAAAGTTCTGTATTTAACCTTTTAAAATTAGCTTTTGCAAAGTTGAAACGAGTACGGAAGCACGAAGTTTGATATTTATTATCCCGTACATTGCTCATGATTTCGACAGATATTTCCAAAGCAGAATGATACGAGTCCTCTGGTATAACAAGAGGATTACTCTGAATAACGGAACACTTTGAAGAGGTATCAACGTATACTAAATCTAAGCATATTTTAAATTTCACAAAACCACAGCAAAAGTGCGACGCAAGAAATGGCCTTGTATAACTACCGCTAGAGATGACGAGCGAATCGTCTAGAAAACAGCAAATAAAATTTGCGTGTATATTTGGGGAAAATGATAGTACACCGTCGATTAAAACTGTCAAAATACGTTTAAGAGAAAAAGGACTCTTTGAGAGGATTTCTCGGAAAAAGCCACTGCTGTCAGAGCGAAATCGTAAAAGATAGATTGCCAGCATATGGAGAAACTTACGTTCGGCGTCCGCGATGTAAAGAGTTTGACCCCAAATACACTCGTCCCACGTTGAAGCACGGCGACGGTAATATAAATATATGGGATGCTATGTCACAGAGAGAAGTTGGGCCTATAACAAAAATTGAGGGTCATATGGACCAGCACTAGTATATGTCTATACTGAGATATGTAATGCTTCCATATTCCGACGACAATATGACTGTTACTTGGCTGTTTCAGCAACATAACGACCCCAAACATTCCGCGCGGTCAACTAAACGATGGTTGAACTAAAACATGATTTCTGCAGTGCAGTTCAGAACTGAACCCCATTAAGAATCTCCGGGAGTAAATGAAAACGAAGATTCGATTGCACAAAGTCGGAAATTTCACCGAACTATTCGAATAGGTAAATATGCAATGGAATGCAATTTCCAAAAACACATGTGAGAAGCTACTTGAATAAATACCTCGCAGATGTGAAACAGATATTCAAAATATTGGCTTTTCCACAAAATATTAGCTTTTCAATAAAAAATGAGTAAGTTTAATTAAATTTAGTTGCTAATTATGTGACCAAGAGGTTTTGGTAGATCCTTTTTCAAATAGTGAAAAAAATACAGAATAAAATTAACAAAATACATATTATTTAAGAAGCAGTGAAATTTATGTTAATTATCCTCTAAAAGTTTAAATTATTATAGTCAACTTTTCGACTTCTGAATGGTAACATGGCTGAAACAGCAGCGTTGCTAATTAGGTGACCGCAATTGTTATTTTTCGAAGTCCGAAAGTAAGCTTGAACCCCACCAACAAGCAAATTTTAGCTTAATTGGGATATATTTTTCTGCTTTACCGCCTACAGATGTGCAAACAAATACCATAAGTAGTGAAAAACGACGACAAAATTATACACAGCTACGGACACACATATGTACATATGTGTGCATATATATGTAACGTATACATACAACATGTGGCCATTGATTATGAACGAAGGGGAAGAATATAATTTTTAGTAAAATAGGTTAATATTTTACCTTGTCCATTTTTTAATAGTTTCAAACTTTTATTAAAAAGTGGACGAGCTTTTTTTGAGTATACGTAAAAAAATTGGAAAATGCAGCTTAAGACAAGTTGGTACTGATATATGAAAAACTTTTATTACTTATGGATATCACAGCATTCTCGACAATGTTATACTTTTGATTTTTTCTTTACAGAGTCGCAAAATTTTCACAAGTAAAGTAAACATAATAAATTGCTGGCGCACACAATTCAATGGCCAGTAACTGTATTTAGAATACGTATTTACATACTCTGGTATATATGCAGACTTTAGTAAATAAGAGCAAGTTAATAACTAGTTAAATTAGTGACTAACATAATAATTGAAATAGTGAATGGAATTCTGCAAACCTCTGACATATTTACTGCGTACCGCGAGCCGCTGAGGTGCTTTTATTCCAATACGCGTATATACAAGTACAAGTATATGGTACTATGTGCGTATGCAGTAGACGGTGCCGATTGTGCAGGGGTATCCCACGCCCTTTTTAGTTTAGTTGGAACTAGTAAAAGCCACGCCAATTTACTGTATGTATATGTATGTATGGTTGTGCTGCTGGACTTTGGCGTGTGGGAAACAACAAGTAAAATCTACTGTATGGTGAATTGTTATTATTATTGTACCGTTATATGCATTTACGTTGTTGTCACACCACTCTGTTCACTTGTAATCAAATCAGATTTTTTTTCACTTTCTGCAGCTGCTTCCTGTAAGTTTAATGCTTCACTTTTTAACTATTCACACACGCCTATAATACATACCTACAGGTGCACTAATTAACTTATGCAATTCGCTGGAAGACTCAATTTATTTTCACAAGCACTATAGCGCGCTTTCAATTCGGTTGCATTAAGTTAGCTTTTTGCGTTTAATTTAACACACAATTTTCGATTAGCATAATCAAATTTGCTTACACGAAACTTTCCGTCGCCAATGACAAATCCAATGTCAGAACATTATTAAAAATAAATATTCATTTGTTGCTTAAAAATTCGCATCAATGTACATAAGTATAAGAATAATATGTATGTAACAATGGCGGAGAAGCGCGCCTCAAATATCTACACTCGGCCGCGTTGAGAATAAACGGCGAAATGCTTCCAATATTCTTGGCGGCAAATAGCCAATATTTTCACCCGGCACACGTTAAAAAACTCGAAAACTCGCGCAGTCGCTACCACTGACACTGTCGTCATTCAAAAATAAACTCTTCAAATTTTTACCCACGGCAAAATAATATGTACATATTTCTAAGGAGGCGCACATCTTTCTGATATACAGACGAGGCGCACTAGGCACGGAACGACTACGAAAACATATAGAATTAAATAAAGTGAGAAAAAAATGATGATCTCCGCGACGATTTAATGTCAGATTCGCAAATTGCCGCTTATTTGCACACACGCTTGCACAAGTACATATTTACCTACATAATATTGTAGCAACATGTCAGCAATGCACTGTGCCGAATGACTTATGCTTGAACACTCGTACATACATACATATATTCATAAGTAGATATGAACTCGAAACAATAACAAAGACGTTTTTTGGATTTTAATGGCTTCACTTATTTGAAAGCAGCACGAATACGGCAAACTAAATTAGCGAGTTCCGCACGAGCGAGCCAGTGATTAGCTATAGTTTTTAGTGGATAATAAATTGAGGAATAGTTAACAGTTAGAATAGATATTAAAATTGAAGTACATTCGTAAAACTTAAACACATTAGAACAATGCGGCGAGTTATAACCAAATCTCATCAGTGCTTTGGAAATTAAATACTACTCGCTGTTAAATATAACAATTTGTTTTTGCCCTGCTTTAAAGCGCTGTATAAATGTGATGAATGATACTGTTGTGTTTTTGACAGTTGGTGGCTGTCTCGCATTTATGCCTTAAATTATTTATTCTTGTTTTAACTTATTGGAATTGTCATTGTATGTGTTTCACTGAAAAACAGATCCGGTAATCAATTATAACCAAACAGTGTTCCCCACCAAATGAGAAGACCAGCCAAGTCAAGTCGAAACCTTGTTTAGTGCTACGTTTCTACTTTTATAAAATAAAATAATTTACTGGCAAAAACTATTGATTAAAATTGTAATTTTTCATGTTTCTTGTTCATTGCTCTGCTCGATATCCTTGGGCACTGCTCTCTAGTCACGAAACTAACAGGTGAGAGCAACAACAAACACTAGGTGAATGAATATGTAAATGCAACATTATTTCCCTTTGTGTCCTATCTTTTATTTAATTATGCCGTTAGATTGTTATATACTAGTTGTTTGTTCTATTCGCCACTTAATGAATTTCTGACAACCGTATTAGTTAATGAGAACCGATGTCGTAATTGCAGTGTACATAAGGTTTCGTTTGTGTTATATTTTGTTTCTGAGTTTTTCAGAAAATTGGCGACCGTTATTGTATTTTTATTATTGCAACTATGATTATCACTTCGTTAAAGGGCCTTTATTAAAAAATTATAATTTTTATAGAAATATGTACGTTTTAAACTCGTATTTTTTTCAAATACATATAGGAGAGATTTTACCGTCGTTTTAGAAGTATTGCATTTAAATTGAATGCATTTATTTAATTCTCGGACGAAACACTGACATAAACTGGCTACATATTGACAAGCATTCTTTTTTTTCACATGTATTGGTATTTCCACGTTTTAACAAGAGTAGCACAAATAACTTTAAAATTTTTCATTCTTTCTCAACAATATCTTTAAAAAATATGTGATTAAAAAATTCAATCTAAAACCAAAACCAGTTGCTGTTATTTCAGCATAAACATAGAATTATTTGTGCTGCGCTATTACGACGACATTCACTTTTGTAATTTTTTACTTCGCTTTTTTTCCACCTACACCTTCTACTTCCGATTATGGCATCATCAGCCATCGGGTAGCTGAAGCTGATAAACGCACGCCTAAGACTTTTCCTATCGATTGGTAGTGTCTCGCGCCCGTGACAACCCATTCAATGCGATGATTGCAACTAGTAACTGTAGCGTATACTAAAGTCTGAGCTCAACTGTTGGCGCAAACCCACACACACAGCTATACTTTCAGACGAGCGTGTTGCGAGTTTCGGAAAAGCGTGACGATGAAAAGGTGTAGTGGCAGCAATGACGGCAGCAGCGGTGTAGCGAAACATAAACACGAACCACACACGTTTATATAAAGATTTGTACGTTATACATGCACATACACATAGATATAAATATATGGATGTAGTTATATGGATACGGGCATACATCTGATTCTCAAAGCATATATGTGCATGTGCCTATGTTGGTTCAATTATACATTCATACAAATTTGAGTACCTTTTAAAACGTTAGTACACATCAAGGCAAAAATTATGCATACATTCACATGTACTTTAGTATATGGTTATACCTCTAACGAGTAGTGGCTACAAAACCAAATAAACACGAAACAATAGAAATAATAAACACATCAACAGCTATTTAAATCCATGTAAAGGCAGAAAAACACATCACAAAATGTGTGCCATGATAGGCAATGGACGCAAAACAGTTAGTTAGCCAATACGAGAGATACTAAACTATGCAACTACACGCCTCTGGTGCGTTCATTTTCTTAGGAAAGTAAAAGTCCAAAGAGAAGCTCTAAACAAGTCCAAGTCAATTACAAAGCTTTGCATGCACACCTGTATGCATGTATATGTGCATCTCAATATGGGGATACATCGACAATAAAATGTCTCACCTACAGAAGCAGTAAAAAGCACATAAAAAACAACTTTTTCAAGTGCGAAATTGCAAACAAGCACATACAGATGTGTAAGTACATATGTATGCAACATAATGTACACTGTGAGAAATGAAATGCTTGGATCCTAAACTATTGTAACCTTACTTTACTCTATAAGTTTTTTTCTGATGAAACATTTAAATAACTGGCCCCTCTTTGGCTTGTTACACTCTTATTTGTTCTCTCATTTCTTGAATTTATAAAATTTTCCGCAACTTTAAATATGTACACAACAGCAAGCAAGCATAGGGCATTGCCAACTCAAAGTTTTGATAAGGTAATTTGTACAGCTCTTGTTGACTTGCGTTTCAATATAAACGGAAAATGAAATTAGAAATTTCTTCATCTCGATATCATATTTAAAATAATTTACTTTAATAATTAAATGGATTTGAGAAATAATTAAAGATTATCTATTATAAAGTAAATATTAAATTTTTACTACAACCTTGCCATAATTTCGCAATTACAAATTTATCTTTGTCGCCGAAATGAGAAAGGGAAACTTTTTTAGAACCAATTTTAATGTGGTGGGCAAAATATCTATCTTACCTTGGAAAACGGCCCTATGAAATACCACTTTGTGTAAAAATTACGCGTCACGTCACTACTGACCCAATTTTAAAAAAATATACCATACTCTGTCCAGTCTGATCCAACTTAAAGGATAGGATAGTTTATATCTCAACTATGATAAAAGTTAAAACAATTCATTAATAAACAAGTAAGGAAGGGCTAAGTTCGGATGTAACCGAACAATTTATACTCTCGTAAAGTCAAATGGTATACTCGTTTGAACTTTCTTTGTGGATTGATTGATATTTTCGGTAGGAGGTCAATTATAGGCACTGGGAACCACATATTTAGTACTTAGGGGCTCGAACAGTTTTGGTTCGATTTAGACAATTTTTGGTCACAAGATGGCATACTTTAAACGTATTATTCACGCAAAGTTTTACCCCGATATAATCATTGTTGCTTGATATGCATAGTGGATAGTGAAAGAATCAGACGGAATTGAAAATGGTGTTATATGGGAAATAGGCGTGGTTGTAGTCCGATTTCGCCCATCTTCGCACTATGACATAGAAATATGAAAAGAACGTTATGCGCCGAATTTGGTTGAAATCGGTTAAGCAGATACCAAGATATGGGTTTTCACCTAAAAGTGGGCGGTGCCACGCCCACTGTCTAATTTTGAACGCGGTTCCTATAGTCATCTCATACCATCCCAGAGATAAAATTTTATATCTCTGGCGTGTTTAGTGCTTGATTTATCGCGCTTTTAGTAGTTTTTAACAGTACCGTTATATGGGGAGTGGGCGGAATTGCCACCCGATTTCAACAATTTTCACACTGTAGGTAGAGGTTCTAAAAACATTTGCTTTCAGTGAATTTTGTTATTATAGCATTAGCGGTTTAGGAGATATGCACATTGAACCTATTAGGGGCGGGACCACGCCCACTTAAAAAAATTTAACTGCAGATGCCCCTCCCTAATGTGATCCTGTGTACCAAATAACAGTCTTGTATCTTATTGCAGAGCTTAGTTATGGCAATTTATTTGTTTTTGATTAATGGCGTTTTGTGGGCGTGGCAGTGGTCCGATTACGTCCATCTTCAATACCAACCGTCTCACGGTACCAAAAAACATGTCTACCAAGTTTCATAAAGATCAATTTTTACTCAAGTTAGAGGTTGCACGGACGGACGGACGGACAGACAGTCACCCGAATTTCAACTCGTCTCTTCATCCTGATCATTTATATATTATATATATAACCCTATATCTAACTCGATTAGTTTTAGGTGATACAAACAACCGTTAGATGAACAAAACTATTATACTCTGTAGCAACAGGTTGCGAGAGTATAAAATTATATGTATATAAAATATATATTAGGTCAAGTAAAACGTTCGTTCGGTTTTTATCTAAGAGATGGCGTTATTGTCCCTAGTACTAGTGTTACGTGTCGCCTCATGTCATACTATACGGCGCTGAAAACGTGTTTATTCGCGCTAAAAGTTTGTCTTTGACAGTTTTTCGATTGATTTACTCAGTTCGTTGTGAGCGCTCATCAAAGATGGACACCAACAAAGAGAAAATTCGCTATATTTTACAATTTTTCTTCGATCAAAGCGAAAAAGCAGCCAAAGCGGCTGAAAACATTAATTTAGTTTATGGGCCCGATACTGTAAACGAACGTGTAGCACAAAATTGATTTGCTAGGTTCCGTTCCGGTAATTTCGATGTCAAAGATGCACCACGCGTCGGGAGGCCTGTCGTCGAAAATTGCGATAAAATCATGGAAATAGTGGAAGCAGACCGTCACGTGAGCACTTATTTAATTGCTGAGGAACTAAAGATAAGCCAGAAAACCGTTTGGAATCATTTGCATAACCTTGGATTCAAAAAGGAGCTCGAGGTTTGGGTGTCACACGAACTAACGCAAAAAACATGAATGACCGAATTTCCATCTGCAAATCGCTGCAGAATCCCAACAAAATCGACCCGTTTCTGAAGCGGATTGTGACTGGCGATGAAAAATGGGTCACTTATGACAACATCGAGCGCCAACGGTCGTGGTCAAAGCTCGGGGAAGCGGCCCAGATGGTGGCCAAGACCTGATTGCCGGCCAGGAAGGTTTTGCTGTGTGTTTGGTGGGATGGGCAAGGAATCATCTACTACGAGCTGCTCTCCTATGGCCAAACGCTCAATTCGGCCCTCTACTGTCAACAACTGGACCGCTTGAAGGCAGCACTCATCCAGAAGAGGCCATCTTTGATCAACAGAAGCCGAATTGTGTTCCATCAGTACAACGCCAGGCCACACACGTCTTTGGTGACTCGCCAGAAGCTCCTAGAGCTCGGATGCCCCCACCTTATAGTCCGGACCTTGCATCAAGTGATTACCATCTTTTCCTGTCCATGGCGAACGCGCTTAATGGAGTTTTTTGGCAATAGGGACGCAGTCTTCTACGAGAGGGGTATAATGAAGTTGGCATCTCGTTGGCAACAAGTTTACGAACAAAACGGCGCATATTTGACTTAAATCGGACAAATGTACACAAAGTTATCATCTTTTGAAAAATCAATAAAAAACCGATGTGTTTAAAATTTAAAATAAACAAGCATATTATTCATAATTTTGAGTAAAATGCCAAACGACTGCGATAAACTTTTCGGTTGTGCTGGTAGAAAAACTTTTGATCATCAAAAAGATCACCGGCAATATTGTATTCACTTCGACTGGGAAGTTTAATGAAGAAACTGTTTTCCCTTGATTTAACTTTTGACGTATGTATAAATAATAAATAAATAAAAAATTAAATCTCTTAAATTCTTATACCGGCAATAACATTAGCGTCTTAATTCGTAAGAAAAACTGTATTGAATAGTTTATGAAAATAGTATTAATGATTACTAAAAATACATTATTGTGAAAAATTTAGCTTAGTTGAAGTTAGTTTCGATGGAGTCGCATATGTGATTGACGATAATAAATATCATTTACATTGTTTACTGGGTATAATAATTTATAACGAGCCTTAAAATGCTTCTAAATATGTTCGAATACATGTATTACCCAAAATTTTTTTCGTTCAAAATTAAGAGAAATACTTACAAACTCTATGTCATGTAACGCTAAAAGTTTGGAATTATTTTGACACAAAGAAATAATATTGACCCTCGCATCTCAAACCATCGAATAAATATGAGAGTTTAAAACAATGAAAGTGAAAGTGAAGTGATGAGAGAGAAAAAACTATCATCGTCAACTTATGGAATGCTGCTATTTTTACGGAAAAAAACTGTTTCCTTCATTATAAAATTGGTTAAACTTAAAATAATTAGCTAAGAAAATATTTGATATTATATTAATATTTCATAAAATAATTTTCAGAGCAAACTCGTTTTTAAATTTTTTTCATGGTAAAAATCGCCAGTCAAACTGCTCGCGTCGTAAACAAACAGCTACCAAACACACAGTAATTGCCATATGGAGATCAAACTCCTCATGAACAGAAAAAAGGTAGTAACAATCTAAAAAAAAATGTATCGATTTGGAGTATGTATGTACATACTTACGTTGTTGTCAAAAATGTACGATATAAAAACATCATCATCATCATCCAAAGCAACGATTTATGAAATATGGAAAATGCTATTGAAATTTACATGCTAAGCACCTTGAGGTATATGTGTTGTAAAACGCCGA